CAATTTGGTTATTTAGCTTGTTCAAACTTCTCAGACAAACGACTTACTACTAAAAACTAAAAGTCGTTTCACGGTACAAAAAATAACCATACTTATGCTGTTTCGAAGGTATCATCATTTAGTTTGATAGATGAAGTGGTGAATTTTTGAGTAAAATCAAGAACTTAGTAATAGCAAATAATAATATTTAACCGAGAATAATTTCGAACTCAAGAAATTTAGGTATTTTTATTTGATTTCGAATAGGTGTGTAAATCGTTGATATTCTATCCGAGCACCAGTGGCTTATAAGAAAAAAAAACATTTCTGATCTCATTACCAAACAATACTAAATGGCTATCATATTCAACATACGTAAGTCAATAAATATGTATGCATGTATTATTATTATTATTATTATTACCATTATTATTACTATTATTATTATCATTATTATTATTATCGGCTTTATTCAATATTATATTTTTGGTACAATATAGAATTCTCAGCGCAAAGTATTTCAACAAGTTTCCGTTTCTTTCTTCTTGGTCGGTCCTGGTGATAAATATTGAGTGATCGCCATTTAGATGTTAGCAGTCCAATAAATGAACTTCTGAGTAATGTACATTCTTTTAGTTGTATATTGCCAGCAACCACATTGTCTCTTATTTAGTTTTTTGTAACTTTGACAAGGAAAGGTTGTACACTTTTTAGAAATGCACCAGGATAGCTTATGCGATTAATAGATATAATGATATATTGAAACAAACAAAAATAGATAAGTTGTTGAAATGTCTAAATGACAGGAACAGGTGACCCAGATGCTCAAGCAGGCCGCCTTGAAAGTGTGTGCTAATCTACACATATTACATAAGTCATTTAAATGATCAAATATCTTTATAAAACGTAATAAGTGTATTGAATAGCTCTTTGAATTTCAAAGTGACTTATTTCTATATGGAATAAGCGATAAATTACTGAGTTATAACGTTTTTACTGAACTTTCATCTGGCGTTTCAAATCTGTCCACTATCAAATACAACTGTCATAAAAGTATTTTTATTTGATATAATCAGCATAGTCTTGAGATTAAGGAGTATAGCAAGTCTCTAGTACTTATTTTTAAATAGTTACACGTATTATTTAACAAATTGGGCGCCCATTTTATTTAAGTTATCGAGATCGTTTTACATAACTGTACTTAGAAATTGTACCATTTTTATTAAATAATTGTAAATTTACTTTTTAATATAACTGACCAACAAAATGGCTCTCAGAAGTAACTCTTGGCATTGTTCAGACTTCTACTGGTAAACTGTAGAAAGTTAGGATGTGGTTATTGGCCATTTTATTTCAGTTAAGAATTTATTAGCAGTAGAGTAGTTTAGTGACCACATTTCAGCTCAGTCAAAAGTATTCAAACACTACGATACGAGTTGACAAACATGAAAATGGTCACTTCTCAGTGATCAGTCAATTGTTCTACAGCAAATCACCAGCTTTCTGCATAATTTTATGGTAACGTCACAAAATTCGTAGCTGAATAGCACGAATTCAAATCTTGAAGGGATCATAAACCGGTTCAAGGCTCCAGGTTCACCTTGCTGATGAGCTTCAATTAACACAAACCCAAGCTGAGTTTCCTATCTGTTACCTACAGACACTTAGTACTTTAACAGTACACATCTACAGCTCAACACTGAACTGTAACTGAAAAATTGATATCTTGGGGTATCCAGACTGAAATATTTTGTTCCAATATGTAGTGGAACCATTTGTATAACCTGTTGATTCTAGAAAATATCCAACTATTCAAAATTACTTGAAATTAATGATGATTATAGAATATCAGAAAGCGTTTTCCTGGATATTACAGTAATTCTAATAGTTGAGATCATGAGTCAATTAAAGATAGACCACCCTGGAAAACCTGGAAACACTGGATGGCCGTTTCGTCCTACTATGGGACTTCCCAGCAATGTATGTCGTGGGTTCGAATCTTGCGAGATGAGATCATGGATTCGCATTGCTGAGGAGTCCCACAATAGGACAGAACGGCCGCCCAGTGCCTTCAGGTTTTCTGTGGTAGTCTAGCTTCAATCAACTCATGATCTCAACTATTAAAATACATTATAAATCATAAAATCTACTAAAAAAAATAACATATTCATAACAACATTTAGGTAGTCGATTGGTTTATTATTCCGAATCATACTGGTTACACACAGTATAACTATGCCTTATTGACGAAAACAAAATTACTTGTAAATCAAAATTACGTACTTGTTTCTTATGCCATTTCTTTTTGTGTTAATATTCAAATCACTAAATCTATCTTCTCATTTAAATGTATTAAAACAATTATAGAATTGTCATTATTGAAAGGACAACTAAATCACAATGGATTTGGAATATTATTCCTAATGTATTTTGTATTTACAATACCACAATGTATCTTAGTTACTTACAATTATAAATTGTACGTTTCTATCAAGGTTAGTAGTTGATTCTATTTGCTTGATGGAATTGTACAAGTCCTCTCTGGCCTAAATACATTACTACTACTACTACTACTACTACTACTACTACTACTACTACTACTAATAATAATAATAATAATAATAATAATAATAATAATAATAATAATAATAATACTAAAATCCCATTTCTTACAGTTTAACTATGTACATATTTAATTGGATTGAATTTATTTCGGAAGTGAATTTCAACAACTAAGTTCATTTAACATACTACTGAAAATTGACAAAACATAATGACTTGATATTATATGTAAAAATAAAATAGATTTAGTTAATTTAAGTGCTTTAGAAGTGTTTTCATAAAGGTAACTGAGCTATTAATCTTCATGAGTGTAGTAGCATTACATTTAAAATTAATAAATTAAACTATATGTAATGAAACTATATAAAATTACTTTAGTCAGTTAATGTTGGCATCACATATTATTATTATTATTATTATTATTATTATTATTATTATCATTATCATTATTATTATTATTATTAATGGCTTTAATCAATATTATATTTTTGGTACAATTCTCAGTACAAAGTATTTCAACAAGTTTCCGTTTCTTACTTCTTGATCAATCCTGACGATGATTATTGAGTGATTGCCAGTTATAAGTTAGAAGTTCAGTCAATTGACATCTAAATAATGTACGTTATTTTTCCTGCATATTGCCAGTAACCATGATATCTCTGACTGGGTTTTTTGTAACTTGAACAACAAATGGTTGTACAATTTTCAAAAACGCACTTGAATAGGTTATGAGATTAATAGCCATAATGATATATTAAAACAAACAAAATTAGATAGCCTGTTGAAATATCTAGATGGCAGGAATAGGTAGCTCAGATATTAGTGATAATATTACATAAGCTGTCAAAGATAAACTCGGGTCAAAACTTAAATGCAAAACTAAGTAACCATTCTAATACCATATTTAATTTGTGGAGATTATTCAATTTTATAAATTGCATTATGAAATGTTCTTAGTTAGAAAACCATTGAAAAATAAGAAGCATAAGATATCTGTTTTATCTTAGCGATGTGAAAAGAGAAATAATAAGAGGTAATGATAAACAACGGAAGCTATTTCGGGGAATGCATAGTTTTGTTCCTGGTTCACTCTATAAATCGCCTGCTTTCATTTGATGTATGATTCACTGACATACTCTTTTCTATTTCAAGATTGTTGTAATATAAATATAACTATTTTTACTTCATTTTTCATACCCTGATGTTTCTTTAATTATTTGTGCGTTGTATCTTTTTGTGTTAATATGAATCATAAATAAATCGTTTACTGATCCTGTCGATTTGTCTTCTCTCTTTCACTTGTCAACCTATCAGAACAGTTTTCATCACTCTTGAAGTAGATACCCTATATTGTAAAGGCCTTAACTAGATCAGGGCAAATACTCACTGGTATATTAATGAACAGAAGGAACAATGACGTAACATTTATTATAGAACTTTTTTAGTAACGTTATTCATGGGATTCGTAGTGACTAATTCTAAGATATGATTTATGAAGATGTGATGACAAGCTATGATCGGTGGAGTATAATCACTGGAGCTTGTGACAGTCACCCACCAATTGTATTGGGAGATGGTCGAGTGATATCACAAATTGATTGAAATTAGACCGTTTGGTTTAGACTGAATGGTCTAAGTTTTCAGATATCAGCATAAAACCTGAAATTATTGATAAGTTTGTAAATATCAATGCCAAGGTTGGACTTGATACTTTCAAATAAAGTGAGTATTGGATAAAAAGTATCGAATGATAGCTACAATGAATAGGAAGGCATCCCTGACGGGACTCAAATGATTTCAATTATTAAATGACAATATTGTGCTAGATGTTAAAAAAGGGGAAATATATACACTGATAGTAAGTATTGTATATCATATCCATTGAATATGTTAATGAAAATTTGGATCTCAGAACCTTTCTAAATAAAACTCAAGTGTTCAAAGTGATAAACACCATGTTTAAGTCTCAGTTTTAGTATCAACAGTAGAATACAAGTACATATAGATCATAACTAAGACGAAATGCTCATTATGAATTTTGTTGACAGCCATTATTCAATATATTATGTTTACATCTTAGGAAAAAAGGATAACGAAGAAATTAAGTGGGAAAAATATCAATCAATAAACCATTCTTCGCATTTGGTATCTAATGTAATGAAAGCAAATAAAGTAATTTTTTAGCATGTTGCTTTAAACCTGATACACTGCATTAGTAAACAGACTGAACGACAAGATTATTTAATCAATTCCATGTTCTGTTTGTATGCGATGGGTTTCATTTAATCTTAAAAAATGGGGGTTTACCACAGCTTATTTGCATGCAACATTATTATAAAGTAAAAAAAAACAAAAACTCATGCTTGATTTCATTCTTGTTAATATTTAATCATGCGTGCATCGCTATTCATTAAGGTAAGAGCAACAAAGCTAGCATAAGCATAGGCAACTATTCATATTTACGCACCACTTATTAATGTACGAAATGCCTGTAGTTCAGACACTGGACCAGTGATTTTATTCTTTGAATCGATCGACGACCATGGTGCCACATTTTTATTCATAAATCCATTATTACCATCATAATTATTGACAATAGTTGTTGGCAGAGTTTTATGACTGACTAAACGTAACCATATACGATAATCAGTACCGGGGCGTAAATGCATCATAGTGAAACAACAACATATTGATTGTGGTAATGGTATAATTCCAGTAGCATTTAATGGACTGATCGATTCATTCGATAATCCAAATAAAATTTCATAAGATATTATAGAATACATTAATTCTGGTAAATTTGGTTGGTCCCAACAAATTTTTGCACTAACATTTGTCAGTGTACGTAATTGTACATTTTTTGGTGAAGGTAGATCAAATGCTGAATAATTTAATGATGTTGGATGACAAAATGAATAAGTTAAAAGAAACGAAATAGAAACCAGTCAAAAACAATTTACAACAAGGTATAAGATAGAAGTTGTTTTGAACCATAATAGTACTTTATTCATTGTTACACGCAAAAATAATCGAAGACTATTACAGTAGGATGTTCTGTTTGACTCTAGTTTCATGCTGATTGAATCTAATACTCAAAGCATATATGAAAGCTTGAGGAAGATAGATATGTCATGTCACATTTTAATCCACCTCAGCAAGTGTTATAGTAACTAAACATTACTACTGTACTATTCACATTGAGAATAATTTCTTGACTTTTATAATAACTAATCTACAGTGTAGTGATTGGATTCTATTTCTTCATTAAGAAATAGGATTTAAAATTATGTAATAATAATGAAAAGCAAAGTTAGAGAAAACTGGTGTCGTAAAAAACACTGGTACAAGTTGAAATGATGACAAAAAAAAGTTAATAAAAAATACAGTATTTTGTGTATAATTTATCTGAAGGGCTTCTGTGGAAATTACAATAATTTTAATAGTTGAGGTCATGAGTCGATTATAACTAGACCACTGTGGAAAACATGGAAGAACTAGACGGATGTTTCATCATACTGTGGGACTTCTCAGCAGTGCGCATTCATAATCCCACCTTGCGAGATTCGAACCCGAGACCTATCAGGTATATATTTTCCATGGTAGTCTAGCTTCAATTGACTCATGATCTTAACTATAACTTATCTAATAAAACCATTTTTATGTTTTTACGGCGACAAGTACGTACATATATTTATTTAGTATATTTGAATTGTGGTTAGCAGTGGACGGTTGGACATTTATTTGAATTTATTTAGGTCACATCAGTCATATGAACTTTTAAACAATTTTTTTTATCCGACAAAATTTACTCGATTTTTTCGGACTTCGTTTAAGTGATTATTATTATTATAATTAGCAGTAGTAGTAGTAGTAGTAGTAGTAGTAGTAGTAGTAGCAGTATGGGGGTTGTTTGTGAAATTCGGAAGTTAATTTTGCTTTTGAAATCTCGGATATCGTTAATAACAATAATAATTGTATTTCATATATGAATTAGTGTCATTTGCTGTTAATAACAGATTTCACGTACAAGTATCTGTATTCGGCTTTGAGAAGTAAAACATGGTTAATAACTTGTAATTCATGTCTCTTAAATATTAGATCTGTTTATTTTGAACTGTATTGTTAAATGTTGCATAGGCTATGTTATTTGATAAATATAGAAATTTAAAAAGCAGATATGATATTCATCTCAATGGATTTTGGAAAACCTTAATAAAATGTCATTACTTGATTAGTGGTCAGTATTCTAGAATGTTAAGTAAACAAAAAGACAATACTGGTCTATAAAAATGATGCAAAGTTTAACAATGGGACTTATTTAAAGTCAGGTGTTTCTTTATTTAAGTTTCAGATATAATTATGTTTGTAGTGATATCGAATTTCAAATAAACCAGATAAATCTTGCTTCAAAATGAGCTTTTACTGATGACAGTGATACCTTGTGTTTAGAACAATTACCACTGGTAATAGTTAAAATTATCCCAATTTCAAAGCTTTCAATTTACATCAATGTTAATTAGTATAAAAATGTATAAACTAAGCTTTCATTACACTGTTTTAGATAATGGATTGTTTTTAGTATTCGATTTCTCAAACTGAAAAAGTTTGACTTGTGCTCATTTGAACCTGAACCTAAACTAAATAATCAATAATATCAACAACGAAAAAACTTTAAGCATCACCAAGAATTGTTCCCCTAATTACATTTAAAGTTCAAATAAAAACAAATGACTTTTAATTAAAACTTACGGTAATCATTCGTTTGAACTTCAATTTGAGCAGCTACTCCATAACCGTGTATTGATTTACCAGCTAAACTTAAATAATATCGTGTACTTGGTTCTAGATCAGTTAATAAATACTGTGTTGCTGTTGCATCAATATCACGTGTTTCAGTGATGAAGGATTTTTGTTTCTGTTTAATAATTTCTTCTTCATTAGATGTTGATGACAATGGTGATTTAATATCACTTATTTGATCTACAACAGTAGAGGTAGTAGTGGCAGGTCGAAATCTTAATCTGTAACCAAGTAATTTTCTATCATTTGACATGTCATCAGGTGGTGTCCATGTTAAATGAATATTCGTTGGTTTCAGTGATATACCTCGTAAATTTGTCGGTGCTGTTGGAACTATAACATTGTATGAAATGAATTTTTTTGTAGCATTTTCATTCATATTTTATTTTTTTTAAAAAGAATGAAAAATTAGGTGTAAGTGATTTTCAAGATATTACAAAAAAAACATGACAACAGTGTAAAACTAATATGGTATATAACTGTAAGGTATACATATATAACTTGACATTATTTATGTATAGTATCTTTATATACATAAATACATGTATATGTATATACATATATATATATTGTCTGCATGCTGATATAGATATATTTATTCATAAATAGTGTGCATTATTATAGAGAATGTGATTGAGATGTTCAGTAATATAGGATAGTAAATGTGAACAAGTTACTGAGGCAGTTTTATGTGGGAATATTTAATATGAAAGGAAAATAGGTACTTACTTTTAACAAATCACAGGTATTTCGTAAGTATGATGATTTTTAGGGTGTACAATTAATTAAAATAACTTGAAATGTGGTAAACTAATTTAAGTAATACAAGGATAGCATCAAAAAATAGTGATACTATACAGTAAACCAATATATGATAAATCTGTAAGTAGTGGTTTATGTTAAGAAAAGAAAGATTAATACATTAAAAAGTGCATGAAAATCTTACTACAATATACATGGCGAAAATTTGTTTAATAACTTTTAACTACTATCAAATTTAATAGTAGTGTAATGATATTAACAAAATAAACTTAAATAAAGGTTACCAACTTATAAAATTTTATAAAATCTTTATTATGGAATAAACTATAATACTCTTCATTAGTGGTCTTAAATTAATGAAAATTATTTAAATTGTTCACGATATAATATTTTAAAAAAAGTTGTAATGAGTTTTTTTAATATTTTTAAAATGGAAAATTCTTTCATTCTTGTGCATTACTCTAATAACTATTTGTGTATTTCATAAATAGACATAAATATAATGACTTGATACCTTACATATAAGTAGTGAATAACTCTTGATACAAATATGTATATATCCATCACAATTATATGTTAATGTGTGAATGTGGCAAGGGACATGTGATTTTTCAAATTTTTAATTAATCTCTTTATTATACATTCATAGATATATAGACATTAACAGATTAAGACATTTGCTTTAGATTGAAAAAAAAGTTGACTTTTTATATAATCTAAAGTGGAAACAAGTTGAATTAGACGACTAGAAGTTGAGTATGTGTAGGTGGGAGATAGGCACAGAGAGAGCGCGCGAGAGCGAGATAGAGTTGAGTGGAAGAATGAACATTTATTTTCATATACGGTTTGAGTGATTGCAAAGACTGACAGTTATATGCTTAGATTTTTAAAGAATCAGACAATGCATACAAATAATGCTGAGAATTGATTAAAACGAGTATGTGATAGGATTAGAACAAGATAAATAGAGACGAAATAAATATGAATGAATGACTGAGAAGTAAATTCACTATTAAAACATGTCAACTTACGAATATCCATCTGAATATCTATGAAATCTGAAATAGTTTTCGTAGTGATAATGGTAATAATAACATTATTATAGATCATTCTCATTATCTGTGATGTCATAGCCAATATATCTAACTTACTTTTAAAGTAGAATATGCACAGACTTACAAATAAGGTATATTTGGCGATGACAGGGAATGGGAATTTAGTTTCAGCATATGCATGTAATCACAACTTGATTATTCGGATTAAGCCTTTTTTATTTCTTTGTTCTATGTTGTTAAAATGAAACTTTATTAATGTTAACTATTAAGTAAGTGCTCCAATTACATCATTTCAATGCTGTTCCGTAATTTGTGAAGAACTGTTTTACTGTTTAATTGTTGTGCCTTCATTTTTCTAATAAGAAAATCCGAAAATCCGTTAGTGAATTCACACATATGATTAACTAAGCATTTTTAAAATGCAATAATCGTTTATTTCAAGCTGAGATCTTATCTAACCTTATTTACCCTTGGTTACAGGTAAACTGTACAGGCTTATTGTTTGCTTTCTCGAATAATGATAATAATAGTATGTGTGTATTGAGATGATGTTTCAGTGAATACGGCACCAGAAACAAGTATAGAATGTTTGGAATTAACAAATATCAGTTGTATGATGACAAATAATACTCAAATAGAAATGTTTTAAGAAGTTTATTCTAAATAAATAATACGTCATATTGTAGTGTGCACTATTTATGCGGACATATTTAAGTAGTATATGGAAGGAATCAGAATCAGAATGCTTACCAGCTGGAGAGTAAAATAAAATGAAGAGGAAAGAGAACGAATAGCAATCGGAATAACAATAAGATCAGAAGAAGCATGAAGTATATAGAGGACAACTGAAGGAAGTTATGCAAATGACGCATCAAATGTATGATTTTCATATTTTATAAACGTACTGTGTGATTTTGCTTAAAATAATAATAAGTTGATTTTATCCACCAAGTCTACGTTCACTATAATATATGTAAAGCATATGCTGTGAATTCCAGATTCCTAAAGTATTAAAGCTTTTAAAGTGAATACCTATGTAATGTTCAGTTTTCATAGTTCTGTTTTCAGCTAGATTTCTGAAATTACGACAGGTTATAGTGGATAAATCACTGAAAGATGCGAATCATTGAAGGCTTCCAATGAGTACTATTGGCTTATATGTATATATATTCAGTGTTTAAGAGTATATCTATTCATCTGTAGTTAAATGTCAATTAAGTGATACCTCTTATCCATATAAGGAAGTTTAAGTGCTGAGAATCTATGACTAATATTTCTGTGAGTTCCAGTAGTGAAAGTGAAAGAGGAATTGTCTTCATTTTTGATATATTAACTAGTTCTGGCCTATGAAGCAATTTATGTTGGACGATGTTCGCTGAAGTTACCTCTCAGTTGATGCGAATACTTCTTAACATAGCTAGAAGCCGATGTAATTTGGAAGATAAACATTAAAATTTTTGCCCACTTTGAGATGAACATTATTGACTAATTCTTCCGTAATCTATAATGAATTCTATAGAGTCAGGTGAAAATTATTAGGCTTCAAATCCTTCAAACAACAGATGCTCTGTTCATTTTTATTGTTTAAAGTCAGAGAACCAGGTATAAGTATATAAGTCATCTTGGTACTATGTTAGCTGACGAAGCCAACAATCATTCTGATCGTAGAGCGACCACTTAAACCTAAAGTATATACCTTATTCACATATTTATTTCCATTCATCGGATTTAATCATATTTTATTCTTTAATATATGAATAATCCCTTTAATATTTGCCCTTACGTTGAACCCTTTTATGTATCTTATTATATTTCATACGTTACATAATCGCTCATATTACATTTTATATGATTATTAGTAATATTTCTAATGCTCTCACTCCATATTGTTTTATATTTGTTTTAAATTTATACTTTGGTGTTACTATGCAGTCTACCAACTTTAGTTATACTAATCATTTTAAACTTGCTATTTCTACATTTACAAACAGAAGCACACATATTTCGTCCTACTAAATTTATATTTTTAATTGAGATCATGAGCCGATTGATGTTAGACCACCGTTGGAAACCTGAAAGCACTGGACAGCTGTCCAATCGTCTAGCTTAAATTGACTTATTAATTCAGTTGTGAAAATTAACATTCACTTTGAGTAGTTTAAAAAGGGTATCAAATATAGTTTTTGATTTTTGACGCCTGTTATCAAAAATCGATTTATAATATGATATATTGTTATAGTATCGTCTTATTTTTAGTCTAAATAGAACCACTATCTTAGAATCAACTCATCGTAAATATTGTATATTTGTTAATTTAACTGAACTGATAATAATCAAGGTAACACAAATAGGGTCGAGGTTACTTCACTCTCTCTCTCTCTCTCTCTCTCTATATATATATATATATATATATATATATATATATATATATATATATAAATTCGTACCAGGTTCGATCACGTGTCAATCTGAGTTCACACAAATATAAATCCACCAAACTGAGCAAAACACGTGTGCAGGACCCTCTTATTCTCAACATTTCCTAAACTGGCATCATTCCGTAATAAAAAGAAACTTCTACAATCATCTACATTTATTTATCAACTAACTAAGTTATTTATACTAATTGAATTTCACTTATCCAAATATATCATTCAGCTAAAAAAAATAAATGAAATGGTAACATGTCAGGTTTTGTTTCTATCCTGTTAGCAAAATATTTCCAAATCAAATGTTACATTCACTGAAACAGATATCCAGTGCAACAAAACTAAGGGGAAGTGTAATGAGATAATTCTTTCATGTCTGTAATTGAATGGTAATGAGTAATGCGCCTTTATTTTATATTTCTTGTCCATTTTGATTGACATATTGTTCAACTGTTCACTTAACAATCAACTTGACTTAACTATAAGTCGAAAACTAATAATTTGACCATTTTTCTACAATAACACATCCGTTTTCTTTTCTTTCCTTTTCTTTGTTCTTGTTGTTGTTGTTGTTGTTGAAAAATACTTAGTTTTAACAAGTTACTCTATTCAGTAATTCATCTCTATAGTTTACTATTCTATTAGGTTGTTTAAAAGAAACATTCTAAATTTACATCATAACGGAATCACAATTGAATCTAACATAAAATTACAAACAAACAAAAATAATGTGTCCTGTAGATATGAAAATACAAAAAAAAGTTTAATTATTTCATGCAAATAAAAACAAAATGAAATAATGGGACAAAAAAAGTTGGTTTGTTTTTTTGGAGAGAGAAAATATCCCCCCAAAATAGATGGGTGATTCTTTTATTCACATGCGTTATAAAGGGGGGGTATATAAATAAGCATTTAACAGGGAGAGAATTTCGATTAAAAATTTATTTATTTTTTTTGTTTGTTTTTGTTTAAAGACTAATTGATTGATAATGAAATAAACGTTTATCGATTGGCTGTAGAGTATTCAGTTAGTGAATTATTCATGAAAGTTATAAACGTAACTGATTTTTTGTTAATAATAATACTAATATGATCATCATCATCATCATCATCATCATCATCATCATCATCATCATCATCATCATCATCATCATCATCATCATCATCATCATCATCATCATCATCATCATCATCATCATCATCATCATCATCATCATCATCATCATCATCATCATCATCATCATCATCATCATCATCATCATCATCATCATCATCATCATCATCATCATCATCATCATCATCATCATCATCATCATCATCATCATCATCATCATCATCATCATCATCATCATCATCATCATCATCATCATCATCATCATCATCATCATCATCATCATCATCATCATCATCATCATCATCATCATCATCATCATCATCAAAAGTATAGGAGTAGAGCAAGCAAGTGAGTATTGATTGATTTGCCCAGGATGACATATAGATGTTCATGATTGATGATGATGATAAATATTAAACAATCATTGACTGGATAAACACATGTTCACTTATTTCTAGATAGGTATTAAGAGGGTTGTATTATGTAGCCATGCTATGACAACAAATACACTAGTATCAAATTTACAGTGAAATAAAACGATCTTGATGCTTTTTATTAAGTTACCAGTAAATGATTTATCAGGAAGATTATCTCAGTTTGCATAATTAACTAACATATGATTTCAGTACACTATTGTTTAGTATTACAACAACCAGTATATATAGCATAGTATATATAGTATTTAACGATCATAAAATTACGTGTAGATTCCTCCACGATAACCGGAAATATCCGTTTTCTGATAGTGACTGAGCTTTTTTTTTAGGTTGTTAGGTACTCCCAGATCACACTTCGGTTTGTTAAGTTCTAGTTATCAATGAGAACATCACGTTTTGTCTGAAACAAATGTTTGATTATATGATACTTCCGTTTCTATTCGAAAAAGATTCTGCTACTAACTAACAACATCAGATGGACCAATAGAAACTAGAGTGCACTGGAAAATCGTGTTTTCACTGGGCCACATACAAGATCAATATAATTTCCCTGTTTTATACTGTAGATGATTTCATTTAGTCACCGAGTCACATTTGATCGGTACACAATTTAAACTTTAGTTACGTTTTGCCACATAGTATGTTCAACTGAAATAATTCTTGATATGCAATACAAATCTGTTAGTTTGAAGAAAACAAGTCCCTGATAATCATGTTAACATGAACAAACAAAATAACTCTGTTTAATTTTAAGCGATGGACAGAGGCCATCAGAGAAATCTGGGACACTCGTCTTGTCCAAATTGGGACTCGTCACTCAAATGTACCTGCATCCCGCAGTTGGTTGCTTGAATCTTTCCACTGGTTTCTTAGGACTGCACTTTTTTAGACTCTTTTTGGCATATGGGCATCCTGTGCCAGTGGCTGATCAATTTCAGTCCTAACTATTAATGAGAAGATCAAGACAATCAATATATATGAACGAAAACTATGTTTATTGTTTAAATAATTACAATTTGCGTAAGTATGTAGACTTAACCACAAGATTTTATTATCGGTGTTGTCTATGTGATTTAGTTACATATTATTGTAAAGCCATCCTATCGTACTTTAGATGTTACTTCTGTGTCAAAATAGTAAGATAATGAATGTATATTGAGGAATTGAGTATTTGAAACAACTATTAACGGTAACATGCATCAAACTTGCAATGGCGGAAATTTTTTTATAGCAAACGGTGAATACGTTTTGTTTGGGCTACCCATCCTATCTAGCAAATGTTAATGATACTATTCATAAAGAAGAATACATTCCTCTTAGTTAAGTCATCCAGCTTTGTGAAAAAAAACACTATTTCAGTCAATCAATTTTACTTTATTGTATATATCTTAGTTTAGTTATAATCAGAAGCACTAGTTGATAGTAACTATGAAGATTCATGCGAAAAAAAAGAAGTTGGACATTTTTGAATTGATTAGTTGGTTAATATGGTATACATATTAGTTTGTATATAAATAGTAGGTTGACGTACATACACTCACATAAAACAACACATACATACAAAGGTACAAACATGCAGGAAGTTTCCATTTAAATAAATGAAACACTCACTCTCTGGAAAAATGAACACAATAAGCATTAAAAAGAAGGAGAAAAAGAAGAAGAAGAAGAAGAACAATAAGAATAAGAAGAGATTAGAAACATTGACAGTGTTACATCAAGCATACAATTCTATACATTTATGTATTATGTGAAATGATTATTTAAACAAGAGATTAATATGTAAAAATTTCATCTTAATATTTATCAAATTATTTCATTAAAATAAAAAGTGGAAAATAAATAAATACCAATCATCAGAGTTGATTTTTTAACCATACTACTTATTTATTATACTAATGATAATAATAACAAGTTATACGCAATACTATTATTATTGTTATTAAAACTTACCTCCGGGTGTAACTACAATTGGTAATTGTTCACTAACTGGACCATCTCCAGCAGCATTGAATGCATTGACTTTAACATAATAAGTTGCATTCGGTATTAATTTTGTTAATTGATATTTCTCTTGTGTTGTTCTAGCAATTAACCATGAGTTAAGTGAATCTTCTGGTCGAGTTGTATAATACAATTTATAACCCTATAGAATATTTTAGAGTGAAAGCATCGTATTATTATTATTTTTTCTTTCAAGAAAGAGATATTTATGTATTTTTTTCAAAAACCGATAATAATGATATCACGGTGACTTGGTTTGAAACTTAGTAGGTGGTTGAAGTTAGACATTAACACCGTTGGATGCAGGTTCAGTGGTCTAGTTGGTTAAGCGTCTGGCATGAGAATGATAGATCCTGGGTTCGAATGTCGCGGGGGGGGGCGGGGTCGTGGATGCGCACTGCCGAGGAATCACACACTAGGACAAAACGGCCGTCCAGTGCTTCCAGGTTTTTCATGGTGGTCTAGCTTCAATTGACTTATGATTTCAACCAGTGAAATAAGTTATCTAGTCTGATTTAAAATTAGCTCAGATTATATAATTTAAAGAACAAAATCTATTGTTTTATGTTATATAGATTATAGAAAAAAGGCTAGGCCATAAATCAATACACTGTTGCTTTATACTCAAACCGCTTATGCAAATAATAATTATGTCTTCACTAGTGAATGATTTCTAAATCTAAGTTTTGAAGTTCTACTAAGACGCTGTGATCACTTGCATTAATCAATATCGAGTACGAGGCATTTACTCACCAATAGGATTGGGAGATGGTTGTGCAATAATGAAAATTGGTTGAATTTGTATATTAAACTTTTGGATCATAACTCAGTTATTTAAATGATATAAAAACTCACTTCCAGACCTGAATGTTTTAGTGATCATGGATGTGAGCTATTGAGTAGTTGCGTACTAAAACAAAATATCCATCCAATATTTCCCTAGTTTTCATTATTTATCTAATTAAGGTCAGCTCGTTATTTGGACTAGAAAAATCTAACAATCTACACAAAACCATTGAATAAATAGTTGATGATTTGTTATGTTATATTAAGGTGATAATCAATCAAAACTTATTTCCATTAAGCACAGTATTCATTTATATATATATATATATATATATATATATATATATATATATATATATATATATATATATATATATATATATATATATATATATATATATATATATATATTGGACGAATTAATGTCTTTATATGGACATTATAGATTAGTTGTATTTATTCACTTACTGATTAAAATTTCGGGCATTATCGTTATGGCCTTTGCCCGTGACACAATCTCCAATCAGAATACTGACTTAAATGAACTTATCCTTGTGCTACATCAATGACAAGTAAACCGGCACTAGCAACCTTGCGTCAACTCTGAATCCTTATTGGCTCTTCTCGCCTAACCCTGCCCGTTTGAGTCCAGAGTACAATCTCAGCTTACACTGTGTGAATAATATATCTCAGACACACGTAGTTTATATACAAGCAAACCAGACCGCATCGTACCATGAAATAAAAAAATACCAGTTATGCAAGATCGAGCCAAAAGTGTCTGTGATTGTGAGAGACTGTAACTAACAGATTAGGAATAAAGTGAGGGCAATAAATAGCATAGTATTAGTTAATAAGTCAAATGAAAGTTTATGATAAAAGGAATATGAATGTACATATAATCTAGTTACTTGATAATTATACTATATATATGATAATAGTCCACAAATAGATTCTAGCAGTTACCAACCATTTATTCTTCGTTCTTATATAACAGTTATTTAATGCAGATTTAAAAAGAGATTCTTGTTTACGATCTTTACTTTTGATTTACCATATATCAAACAAACTACATAAGAAACCAATTACGTATTTATTCGGTGGAGAAATTTGGGAAAATCACTGTACAATGAATTGATTAATCAATTCAACCTAAGAAACTCATAAGACTGTAATTAGTAAAGAGTAGATTGGAGAAAAATCTTGAAAAAAGCTACATATCATATAATAATTTAAATCTAAATACTCACAGTGATACGACCATTGGATTCAACTGGTGGTTTCCAGGTTACTACTACAGAGTTCGGAGAATCAACAATAGCTTGTAATACTTGAGGAGGTGTTCCAGGTGCTGAAAACGGAATAACAACAGTAATAATTGATAATAATAAAAGATAGGATGTTTGTTAAAACTCAAGTGTTAAATGATTCATGGCGAATCAGTTTATGTGAAGAACCACTTGTAATTCGGTCACATATTTCATCCCAAATTAACAAGTATCATAACCATTAAGAAGTAATCATTCAGTATAGTAAACTTGGGTGATGAAATGTCGAAGAAGTGGCAATTCTTCTTTACACAAGAAATTTTAATTTAATCTAGGTCAATTTTACCAGTAATCAACTGTATTTCTGCTAGGTGTTTTGAAAAGAAATAAAACAAGCGTCATAATTCATCCTATAAATATCACTATACAAATGCATCCAATCACTTGGATAATATTGTCACTGCTTAATAAATTATATATGTGTGATATTACTTATAAAGAAAAATCATTTGGACACATTAAATGAAATTGTCATTTAATAAAGTTAATCTGTATTATGAAAACACTCTAGGAACTAAGGCGTATATTGATTTTCATTTTGACATTGAATTCATTTCCATGTCAAAGAAATGCCTTTTTTTTCAAAACAGAACATAACAAAATATTATGTAACTTCTATTTTGATCTAGAACCAAATGTTACATCATTGATTATTTCAACAAAATAGCCAATATACTTTATATGTCATAACTCATATGGTAAATAATTTTTCAATGAATATAGATAAATACTTTTGATGATGAAAACATTGACTTTCAATGCTTAAAATTAATTAACATTGATTTTTGAATGCTTGTTTCATACTGGTTGATCATTTATATATCGTGACTGAAATCTTAAGGGAATTTATAATTATTATAGTCAGTTAGTCAGATACAACGTAGGACCAGGCACATATATGCATTAGTCCAAGTTGCCATACCTCATTAACACAACAAGATGAACACCGGATTCATAAAAGTAGTTAATTCAATGGTGGTAATATATAAAAGAAAGAGTGCATATGAGGATATAGTAAAGGAAGAAAGAATTATTTCGTAGAAAGGAAGATATGAAGCGATTTTAATATCTTAAGCTAAGGGAAGACAGAGAGTGTATACACCGACCCCATTGTGATCGATTCTGAGCCATGTCACCCACAGTCTCCAACGATTGGTTATAATTATTATAAGATTGAAATTCATACAAAACCAGTATCATAGTTCACATACTTTTACTTATACATGCATTAATAGAATTGAAACGATATGACAACCTGTTTTTTTAAGATACTTAAATGAATAGAAAATCAATCTACTTATATTATGAACATGTTCATATGTAAATATGCATTTTGTAAGTTTGTGAAATATAAGAACATTAAAAAAGAAAATTAAATTATATCATGTATACTTAGTGGATTAATACAGGTAAAGCGCATATTAAATCGAGGCAATATTTCATAATCACCTTACTCATGAATGTGATTAGAGTATAAAAGAGGATAGAAAGAGAGAGAGAGTGTGTGTGTAAGTGTAAGTGTGAGAGTGAGAGAGTGAGGATGAATAAGAATACAAATATCGTAACTGTATACAATTGGTTGATCAGTAATGAGTTCATTTAATAAAATAATATAGATCATTCAAGAACATATTTTATTTATGTTTTTGATGTAAATTTCATAGTCTTATGTTTCTCTCTTCTTTTTTTTTTCATCTCTATATATTTCTTCATTGTTCTTATATATAACTAGATATTTGAATTTATGCTACAACGATTATAATCATTAGTCTTTCAATCATGTTTAAAAAAAATGACCAGAAAAATAAAACATTGAATATAAATAAACATATGGTTGAATGAATACCACATTACCACATATTAACTAACACAAACATTGTTATTTATTCAATTACTAAACGACACACATGGAAGATTAAGTGACGACAGTATGTACGTATATATATATATATATATATATTTGTATACATTCTGACAAGAGTAAGAGGATGAAATTAAGTCGTTTCAATGGTGTGTTTTCCTCATTATTAACAAAATTTCTCATGTGTAAGTAGTTTCTATTGGGTTAATTCATGTGATAGGAAAAATCTGAAAATTTCGCCTTTTTCTATAATTTAATACAGATGAGAAAGTATATATACATATATATATGTTTGTAAAATAGTTAAACAATAATTTATGACTTCCACGGACAATCGAATAGATTGAAACACTATTAACTGATGTTAAAAAAGTTTCAACTGTCAAATATTATTCGAACATAATTTATGTTACATAAAGGAATACAGTTCAACAACTATTGAGTACTGATTAATACTTAGTATACAATACTTTTATGTGCTAAAGTTAGAATATGTGGGTTTTGTCGGCAGTGTGTTACTTTTTAGACCATTTAACAGATATACTATGATTCATTTTTGTAACTTTACTTAATTTGTAATAGTGCACAACTACTAATCAATGGCATTAAGCATACTAGTCTTACATTCTAAAATTCACTATTATTATCTTCTCATTAGAATTTCTTCGAGCTGTTTTCGAAGTTAGTTGTTAACGAGAATATGATGAAATCTGAAGGTCCAGGTTTCATTAGTTCGTAAAGTGATTTCCTACGATATTTCACTATTCATTTCATAACTAGTAATTCATCAGTTCACTTCATTTAGTGAAGTACAAATACATTTTAAATGATGATTTAAGTTGATTACGTAATACATTTTTTAAATTTATTCTTTTTCGAAACCCAACTAAACTGAAGCGATCTCATTTGTAAACTACTTTTAATCCATAGAAAAAATTAATTAATCACAATTGATTGATCACTGGTTGGTGACCAATGTCATGTGTGTCAAGTCCTTATTAGTGCAGATCGAATGCTATCCACCATGATGCAATATGGCCACCAGCCTAGGTGACTCGACACTGCGTGCACTATTGTGAGATTAGATGGTGGTTGAAGGTAGTCGACAGGAAACCCTGATTAATTAGTGTTTGAAATTACCAAAGTCAATTGGGAGGGGGGGGGTTAATTGATTATTATTAGTGAAGGATGTGCTTAAAATGATTCAATTGGGTATTTGATAATGATAACTCTGAGTTTATTCCTCCCCATGAAAGAAACGAAATAAAATTTTCATTGTGAATAATTTTACATTCTGTTCTTTGCACAGAGTTAATTATTCAATGCTATAGTGATGATTAGTTACAATTAATACATAATCAATAAAACTCTTCATATTTTGTTGGGTTATATATGAAAACTAGGTTATAGTTATCACGTTATCACTAAGCGATTTAGTCAACGAAAAAACTTTTGTAAGCTTGAGGAATTTACACTCGATTGATTATCAAGTAGCGACCATTGGAATGTTTACCTAGTCTTATTAGTTCTAATCGAACGTTACATATTGTATAGGTTAATAAAGCAGGTACGAAATCTTGCAGGTAGGATAAATTAAATCAAACTTCTGGTTCTTCTTGATTGAAAATGTTAAATATTATAAGACCTAGATCCAGAGGTTCTTGCTAACTATCAACAACCACAAAACATTTCAAAATGGTATACCTGATATGAAGTCGCTTAAGTTAGTGATATAGCAAAACCTGGTCCATAAGATTTGACCAGTAATGAAGAATCTGGCAAAAATGATGACGGATAAATCAGCTGTATATCTAGGTTCATTTAAACCTTGTAAAAAAATTTCGTAACAAGGAAAGCTACAGCTGGAGTAGCTTGATGCTTACACCACTGGTAGTGGGGTTTGGATGTTACTAATTAGTAACTCTGTTCTAGCACTGATTTCCTAAAAGCTGAAGATGATTATTACTGTTGACTAGCATGAAATCTATAATTTTATATTGATTACCTCCTGTCATGCAATGTTAAATAGTAGATAGAATTTGATTAGAGCTAACGGTTAGATAACGTGATGTGGAAAAATGAAATGCAAATCTGTGAATGTACAAAACAAACGGAAATAGAAATTGATCAATTGCCATTTTGAGTACCAACAATGAGAAATTAGAAAAACCATTACCTATATCTTCATACCTGTCAAAAACATCATTGGTTATCTAAATTGATTGGCTTACTAGATAATACTTTGACGTTGAAAGAGAAAAGCAATGGGTTAGAATTACAATATGAACATCAACAAAGGGATATATTTTCATTTAGTTGAAAAGTTTCAATAGGATGATATACAAGTTCTGAATTGCCCTACTAGCTCTATATTGGATATACAAAAACTTGTGAAATACCACCCTATGGAAGTCATCTGTTCAGTATGACTATATGACAACAGTAACTACAATTCTGAATATCACTAATGAAAAGTTATAAACCGTTTTTAAGAATATATAGATAAATTATTCATGAAATAACAATACCTTTCATGATTAATCGATTAAACTAGTATTTTATTTTAGTTACAGAACTTTGAAGATTTTAAATATCATTCCGTATAATGTTTTGTTGTAACCAAGTAAAGTAAAATAGCTGTACAGTATATTTCACTGATACTAGTTTATGAAATGTCTCAAATGAATTATTCAGTCTTAAGAATTAAAATACATTTTATACTCTTTCTATTAATTTCATTTGTTTAGCCTTAGTTTTTTTTATACAGCATCATATACAATTACAATTGAGAACAGGACAAATACAGAAAAAAAGGAAAAGAATGTATGATCAATGGATAATTTCACTGTTTGAAATCATGAGTGAATTGGAGCTAGATCACCATGGAAAACCTGGAAGCACTTGACGGCCGTTTTGTCATGTTGTGGGACTCCTCAGCAGTGCGCATCCATGATCCCGCCCCGAAGGATTCGAACCCAGGACCTATCAGTTCCGCGCTAGGTGCTTAACCATTAGACCACTGAGCTGGCATCCAACAGTGTTAATGTCTAACTTCAACCAACCCACGAAGTTGCGCCACCGTACACCATTGTCTTCACTGAGCTGATATCTCACAACAGACCTGGTTGAACTCCACTGGTAACGGCTTCTCACTGGAACTCC